ATCTATCTATCTATCTATCTATCTATCTATCTATCTATCTATCTATCTATCTATCTATCTATCTAATTTAATCCTATTAAAACAAGATTAAAAGTAGCCAACCCAAGAAAATAAATGATAAATAATCATATAACAATAACATGCTGATAGTCTTCTAGATGTTGTTTGAAAAATTACAGTGCATGAAACTGTCAGGAAGGCCCAGCCACTTTTTCCTACTGTATAGCACAATCCCTGAGAATTTTTTTTTTCTACTGACAATAGCAGTGGAAAACCTGTGATCTCATATCCTCCAGTTGGTTAGTGGGAAAAATATGGTATTACATAAAAGTCCAAATCACTAAAGCTGGGAAAGATATTTCTCTGGTCACTATCTCAACTTCTCATAGTCCCCTCAGTCATTCTTCCAAGGAATGAAAAGGGGAAATGTGATTTAATGGGAAAGTATACTCTGCAATATTTCTTAGCTTTGGAATAAAATTCATTCATAATTCTGCTAATTTAAGGACAAGCAATTTTTTTCTTTTTCTCTATTATGACCTCTTTGCTGTGACCTAGCATGCTGTGATATGCCACAAATGGCTTCCCGTAGTTTTTTAAAAAATATACCACAATGATTGTGTTCACATGCATACTAAGACATAAACTAGAGTTTATACAGCAATGACTTGCTTTACTCAAACAAACCACAGTGAAGCAAGCCACTGTGGTGTGTAAACTGAAATCATATTGCAACTAACAACCTATAGGAATTATATTTGAATCTTCTGCAATTTCACCTGAGCTTCCTTTTTTTGTTCCCAGCCGATTTTCCCTTTTTCCTCTTTTGCTGAATTCAGTGAAGCTCAACAGTTTGCTAATCAGGTTGGATTTTCAATAAGTTCATCTGGACAAGAGGAACATCACCTGAACTATGAGAGTCAAAGTCATCCTTGGCTTAGAAGGGGGAAAGCGGCAGGGTCCGTCCACTGGTTAAGTTTGCCATGACCTCGCTGTGCATTTTCAGAGAAGTTCTTTCCTGCCCACTGCCAGTCTTGAGTCTTCGCCAAGCTATGGGTGTTTCATTAGTGAAGTCAGAAAGAGCATCTAATTAGGGTCCCCCCCCCCACTTCTTCCCTCCCCTCCCTTTGTTCTTGTTGTCATTCCCTTCTCCCTATCCTAAATGCCTCCTTCCAGCTCGCAACTGGGCAGGGCTCCAAAAGAGCACCAGCAACAACAAGAGGCAGGAGTTCAAAGTTAGCAACGGATTGCACAACTTCTACGCCGGGTGACTATTAACAAGCTGGAACGGCGGCTGCGGTAGCAGCAGCAGCAACAGAAAGCGCTCAGGGAAACGGCTTATCCACTGTCCCCGAGTTTGATGTTCTCCTGCTGCTTTTGGGGCTCACCATGTCTCCCTTTGGAAGGAATCTCTTAAAAACCCGCCACAAAAACAGGTAAGGCGAGGAGTGAAACTCATCTCTGGGTCCGAGTGCGCGGGTTTGTTTCCGTCGGAGGACCTGCTCGTCTCTTTTTCAGCCAAATGTCAGCTTGTCCCAGTTTTATCCCAGATCTCCGCGTACTCCAAAGATTAACATACGTTTTTGGAAACAGATGCCTCTGAGGTGATTGTGATGGGAGGGGATGTATACCTTCCGCTACCCACTTTACCTCTGCTCCGCCATTGCCTGGTAGAAGTGAGTCTCTCCCAAAGGAATTTAAAAACTTTCCAAAGTTTCTCTCCTACGCCTGCTCTTTTCAAAAGGGAAATAAAAGAAAAAAAGAAAAAGAGCAGAATATAAAATCGGTCTGTGTACCTAGCAGCACAATCGCCTTATTAACCTAGCCTGCGAATTGAGCCTTGGAAGAGATGATTACTTCTAAAATGTCGTCCTGGATGAATGGATGATTGCAGAATATCCCAGGTTGGAACGAAAGTTCACAACAAACGTCAAAGCGCTGTTATTTTAAAGTGGGGCGGGGAGGGGAATGGGGTGACTGTTGGTCCCGCTGCAAACGGCGAAGACGCGTACCATTAGGATTTAAAAAAAGAAAAACTTGCTGGCTACCAAACTTTTTTCAAAGTTTGCCTGAGCGCTCCCGGAAGGAGGAGTCGTTTTCCAAAGAGCAGTTAAAGTTTAAGATGTCTGGAGTGTATGACATTGGGATGATATATGGGAAAGGGGAACCAAAGAGATACTAGTCCCCTCATATTTCAGGGGGCTTCTGTTAGTTTTTCTCTGCCTCCCTCCCCCCGTCTTCCCATCGTGCTTGTTTCTACCCGACCCCCCCAAAAAAACCCCAAAATTGCATGCTCTGGAATTTTGTTATTATTTTTAGCTGCTGGTGTGCTTTATATCTAGTGGTGTGTTGGAAGGAATACCATCCTGTGCAATTGATGTGAGAGTGATTCAACCCTAACCTTGACAAAAGGGGAGGGCAAGGTTAATGTGTTAACTTAGTCTGTCTTCTGGTTTTTGTAATCCTGATTAGAACTTTGTTTCTATTTTGATGCTGTTGAAAAGTATCCTTCATAATAAAAACTTTCCTGTTCTCCCTAATTAATGTATTCTGACCTTTCTCAGTCAGTACCTGTTTGTACCTTGACTTTTCTTCAGCATTGTGCTGGCATTCATAAATGGTAAGAAGATATTACTAGATAGGTGTATTCCAATGTTACTAAGAGCTGTAGACTAAACAATATTTTGAGATGTGTTTTCTGTTTTATTTTGAACCTTATTCTGGCCATAAGAATTGATTTAGGTTGTAATTATGTATAAATTTATACAAGCATGAATCCACATAATTGTTGTGCACATTGGAAATTACTTCCGAGTAGTAACTACAGCAGGCTCTAAAGACTTACACTTGGCTAGAATTATTTTGGATTATTTGAAATGAGACTGGGACTAATCCTAACCTTGGTTTTCCTGAGAAAGAAATTGTTTTTAAAGCTCAAAGAATCTGGCCTGCATTTAACTTATTCTCCTTGATCACATTTACTTCATTAAACCAGCACTGTAATGAAGGGCATGAAGTAGACAGAAGCATCCTTCAATGAGCCACTATACTGTAACAAATTTGGCAAGAGTTTACTCCTGCTCCAAATCTGTGCCTGGTCATTCAAGAGCTGCCAAGAGAGATAGAAAATTGATGTTTTAATGCTGGAATGGTAATGAGATCACCATTATCTTGCTTTTGCCACACTGTAACTTAATTGGCTACGAGCAGGATTTACCTATTCATTGTTGTTGGAATGTAGAGAATCACCCTGAAATAGACCTTTTGGATTTCCTGATGCATAGTTCTAGGGCTTAGACACAAGTGATGCATGGACAGTGGTACATCTGTAACATTACAGATGTTTTTTGGAAACTGAGAATCCTATGAGTCATGTATCTAAGAGCGGGGAGCTCAGCAAACTTTCATGAATTCAGAATAACGCTCGTGAAACCGTCTTAAACATAAATTTGAAATACTATATCAATTATTGACATATCAATATATCAAATTTAAAAAACTATAGCAAGAAATGCATTAACCAAATCATTATGATTCTTGTTTATAAATCATCTTACAGGTTGGTGTATAAATTCTTTTTTTACCAGATGCCTCAAGTGAAGTCAAAGCATCTATACATTCTAATTGATTTCAGTAAATATTGTTGTGTTCATTCTTCAACACATGTCTGAGATTATATCAACATAAGCAGACGCCACCTAGGTCAGTTCAGAGAGTGGTCTGCATCCATTCTGTGGGTTTCAGTACTGAATAGCCAAATGTTTCTGTGCAACCTAGAAAGGGAGCACCCTTTCCTTGTCATATATTGAATACTTGGATAACCATTTGTCTGAAGTGGTGTAGGGTTTCCTCCCTAAGCAGGGGGTTGGACTAGAAGACCTCCAAGGTCCCTTCCAACTCTGTTACTCTATTCTATTCTATTCTATTCTATTCTATTCTATTCTATTCTATTCTATTCTATTCTATTCTATTCTATTCTATTTAGTTTTATTGTATTATAATTTGCATTATATGGCTAGACTGTTATGTTTCTTTTATCTTAATAACCAGCACCTGAGGACATCTGAGGAATGAGAACTAAACACTGATCCAGCTATTTATTATTTTTTTAAAAAATGATTTTAGCAATGGTTGTCAGTCTGGTTCTAAAACAATTGTGGCTTTTCACATTTTGACTATACAATTTATAGGATACCTTAGCATTCTTTAGATAGTTTGTGAAGATATGAAGGTGTGAATGGAGATACTTTTGGAAAGCAACATTATCACTTACTTGTTTTCTGGTTAAGTGGTAATGTGACTTTCCAAAAAAATCCCCAATCATGCTGTCATTTCTTCACAAACTATCTGAAGAATGTTAAGGTATTCCATAAATTGTGTAGTGAAAATGTTGAAACAACCAATCATGATAGCTATCCATTGCATCAAACAGAATATGTTTTCCCAGTTCACTTTCTCCAGAAGCATGTGGCATAGCCAGCATGATCAATCTAACACGTCTTTGTACAAATATCACTTATCTTGAATGTGATACTTACTGCCTGGCTCTCTCTATGGGACATGCCATAATTTAGAGTTATTAATAGTCTTCTTTCTACTGGACTAATTTATTAAGAGGGTTGGATTTTTGAGAAGGATGCCTTACATGAGAGACTTGAAGTAGAAAATTATCCTTATCTGACTCTCAATGCTACAACAGTAAAGCTTTTTTTCAGATAAAGGAAGCAAATCATGTAGGAGATGAAATGTAATACGAGCAATCAACTATAGTTTGTTGTGTTTGTTTTCAACAGCACTTGAAAAAGAGATAAGTTGAAAACAAACATGAAATATATGACTTGTCTTAGCATGAATGCCATATTACTCCCTCTATTAGCATACTGAGCCACTGAATTCTGACATACATGTAAATTATAGGAGGCCAGGTCAAAAAATAGTTAAGTTTGAACATGCATATCATGGAAACACATGATGTGCAGAAATAAATCAACTTCTCATTTCCTGCTAAAACCCAAAGGAACAATCCTTCTGATGCTGCCAAATGAACGGCTGTACTTGCTCATAGCCATTGAATACTGAATGCCTGTGGTGGAAAAGAATTAAAAAAATGCTGAAGTGGGGTGGGACCCAGAATGAAACAGGATCTCAGAATGGAGCATGACTGACGGACTAGCATACTGAATTGGAACAGTCCAATGGAGGCGGGGAATGAGTCTGCTTCTTGCTTATTAATATGCAAATCCAAGTATTAGAGCTGGGCTGAGAGGTACCAGGAAAAACCATCTCCAAGTAGAGAGGTAGAGCAGACAGAGAGTTTTGCTCTCTTCTCTTACACACTGTATTTAATGTAAAAATGGCACTCAAAGAAATGAGCAATTAAAAAAAAACATTTTCCCATTAGTTAAATCTTAGTATGACTGATTTCTGAGGATGAGACTGGCAAGCATTCTTAGTAATATATGGAAGTGAACTAATTTAACCTTCAGGAAGATATTTTGCTGTATTATCTACTATTTGAAGAAGATAGGAGATGATTTCATTCCAGTAGAGAAAATTACATGGACTTGTGAATAAGCTTACGTAATTCAGAGAAAGAGTAAGAATCATCTTAATGATTTGTGAATAAAATACTTATATATAAATGAATTGAACTGTGAATTTATTTTCTTATATCTGTGGTACCAAAAGTAGGCCCTAAATGAAAATGCTTCTTATTGAGAACAGATAGAAAAAGCAGGACATGAAAATGTTTACAGCTTTTACAGGCAATATAGTCAGAAATAAATACTTAACAACAACAAAAAAGGCTGATCACAAATGGAATTGACTCATTTGAAAGTTTTAAATGAGGAAGCAGTAAACATGTCTTCTATAGAGAAACATGAATGTTTCTCTTGGAAGTGTAAGATAAGTCAACAATGGCTCTTTTATTTCAAAATGCCATACTCTCTAAAATTGGAGATCACTGAAACCCTAGGCAGAATTCACTAGGTCCGATTGTTCATAAAACAAATTACATTAATTCATTTGTGAATAATGTAACCCAAATGAATGTATTTCCATAAAAAAAAAGCAAATAGTGCATTTCTGGGGATACTTACAGAACAAAGATCCAAAGAGTGTTGTTGTTTTTGTTATTAACTCTTTAAAGTTATGTATTGTGGAAACTAACAGATCAAGAAAGTTTTATTTTTAAAGGTTATGTGTTAGAAAGGCCTGTGAACAGTTAAACTACTATAGATTTTTTAAAAGATTGATAAACTAACTGGAACACTATGTTATGAATGCAATCAGTAAAGCAAGATAAATTTTATTGAATCACACATTCTTTGTTTTTCATCAAAGGGAAGTCATATCTTTCTTTACAAATTATGTGCAAAAGAGCTCAAGAACAGCTACTAATATACTTCTGTCCTTCATATGTTCCCATCTGACC